ATTGAAATGCATATTTTCATAGACTATGCCAGCTAACTGTGACCACCATTCTGGCTAAGAAATAACATGACGACCACTGCTGTGGGCTGGATAGACTGTATGGGCACTAATCCTCAGAGCCATCTTGGCTTTTCCAAATGTTATATGATTCTATTAATTTGACTATTCACAAACTAAGTAATACAAGGAAATGTGTTAAAAATAAAATTAAAACAGTTCCTACAGTGAAACTGCATTATTGAAAGCATGTTGAATTCCTTTTCTGTTTACCCATAGATGACTGATTGAAAACCCCTCAAATGATCAAATTAGCAGTCTATGAAAATAATCCAATTACCAATCAAAGTTAACTTTACAATAACAGTGACTCTAGTGCAGTATATGACATTAGCAATTTACCTCATGCACTGGTAATAAAACATGGCACAAAGGCACAACCTCATGCACTGTAGGTAATAAAACATGGCACAAAGGCACAAATTCAGTGAATGGCACAAGAGAAGTATCTTCTCATTTCGGAAGGAAGAAGAAGAAAATGACCAAAAACTGGATTACTCACTTTAGGTTTTGTTAACCAGCTCGGGGTGAGGCCTACTGCTGACTCCACTGCTGACAAATGATCAAGAGGCACCATGAAGTCTACTCATGGACTGAACCACTCTCAGCATTCTTTGCTCTGTATAGCCCCTTAACAGACACACTTAGTATGTGTGTACTCTAACATGAGTATAATCCACAGGCTAATCATATTAAAGCATCTTGTATGAGCATGAAAAAATACATACAGTATCATATAATAGAACAACAAGTTTGGGAACCGTGCCAAAGATGTCCACTTCAATGTTTATCAGCCTTGACAAACAAAAATTCAGCATGATAAGAGTTGGGACTGTGTGATAAATACAATGATTTAAAAGGTAGTTGGTGATGGGTGGACTTCACCATATGGACACACAAACCATCAGCGGCACCTTCGTTTCGAAGCACTGCTTCGGGTCCAAGTGGCCAAGTCACGTGATTGTTTCACATTTATTCTTTCTTATTTTGGTTATTCTTAGCTAGGGGTCGATGAAACATCCAACTGCTGATCTTGAGTCAGCTGATTCACCTGTTCACTGCCTCATCTACAGCATAGCCCCAGTCACAAGCACTCCCCATCAGAGAATGTAGGCCTACTTTACACAAACACAGTTCTGTTGAAAATGTATACCCATTTTGAAGATATATAAAAATAAATATCTTCTTATATATGACACATATTAGAACATAAATAATATATAAACTTTATTGTTGTCACACAATGTATTTCCACACAATGACCCAAACACTCATCAAAGTCTAGTCACAAAGGCATTTGGCACCACATATACACAAATTTATTTTACAAAATAAAAAAAATGTATGAAAAATATCTCTCTTCTGAATCACTTGAATCGCCATGTTGGCACTTTCTATTATATTTACAGGCATTTGGCCAGCAGATTTCACCAGTGTGAGTGATTCAAATGTTTCAGAAGCAGCTGGTTCAATTGGTTCAAATCTTCAGAAAGCCATCACTAAAGGTGGTTAAACCTGGGAAGACTTAAATAAATAGAAAGGCAGTAGGTCTACTCTTACTGCTTCTCCAGTCACCGTGTTCAAACAACAAGACAAGCAGATGGGAAAGACAGCACTTACTGCATGAGTCTTCCTTTGATTAAACAAACCTACAGAAAGGGACATCATCAAGATTCATACAGAACAAGGCTCAATACAGCCTGTATATACACCACAAACCCATGAGTCTTGTCCAATTATCCAATGAGGACTAGACACATACCCACTAGAAGGCCGGCCTCAAAAGGATGCTACTCATACAACATGGAAATTTCAAAATAAAAGTTCCCAGAACTTCAGAAATTTGCTTACGGAGGGATAAATGGGCACTGTACTATTATTATTATTTAGTTAGTAAATGGGGGTACTGTAGTTTGCAAAACATTTAATAGTCACTCAGCTTTAAAATACTTTGTGTTTGTATTTTGTGTTGTTGATTTTATGTTGGAGGTGGTGCCTGTTCCTCACTGGATAGCTGACAATGCTCAGCCATGTGTGGTTTATACAAAAACTGTCCTTTTACCCTGTTTCTTAAAAATCCTGAAGGTCTTGTGTTAAAAAGTACAGCAGTTGCTGAATAAAAAGCAACATCTTCCAAGAAATTACTTAGCATTGACAAGCTTTTATTCACATTTATAAATCAAATAAGAGCACAGACTATCGAATCTCTAGCACCAGGAGGAAGAACGTGAGTGTCTCACTAAGTTTAGACCACATTTCCTGAAGGTCAAACACAGTCATTGTATCTTTCATCAAAGGTTTTCTGCTCAACCTTTCTTAAGAGGATGCTTGTTTTAGAAATTATTTCAGATTTTCCACAATCACAGAAAGCACAGTTTAGTTCAGACAGTGTCTCTCCGTGCCATGAGTTAATCTGGTTTCTGAACAAATCTGTTCTGGTGTCACACAGGACTTTTTTTTTTTTTTGCTTGAATCTTTGTAGCACCTTTTACTGTCCATCTGACTTCACTAGTACATGAATTTCCAGTGTAAAAATGTCTGGATGAGATGAAAATATGTTATACCTACCTGTGAGAAAGTACAGATGTCAGTTTAAATTGGTCTGGTATGTGTGCCAGCCAGTGGACTTGGCGCTGTCACAGATGTCATTATCACTCACCTTCATGCTTCAGGACGGCTCCATGGAAAGCAGTTTAGATAGAGGTGTCGACGTTACGTGAGTATATAATGTATGCTGATTTTTCCGGAGCTTTCGTTGTCTCTCACCTTCACATTTTCCATCTGTCATCATGGAGGCATCATCCTGGGCTCCGCGGAGTTTCCAGCTGATGACTCCAAAGCAGAGATGGCAGGAAAAGCCACAGCAGGAGCTACAGCAAAGTGTGAAAGGGTGACAAAGACCTTTGAAAAACAACACTGTCAACACATTACGATCAGCAGCATAGTTGATAAAAAGTGTGACAGGAGGTGTAAATGAGATGCCCTATTAAGCCGGTGCTGTGCCATCATGGTGTGATGCTACTGTGGAGCTGCAAACTCACATCCCCTCTCAGTTTGTTGTTTTCGTATTGTGAATGTGGTTTGCTTCTTCTTTTTCTGTATCTGAATGCGAACCATTACAAGCTTAAGCAAAATGAGCTGCCAAAATTTCGCAGTTGAGCATATTGATAGAGTTGACCAAAGTCTTACAATTTGTTACAGCATATTGCCTGATACTGTAAATGTTTCCACCTATTTGCCAATCAATAAATAAAGCAGCTGATATGTTTTTACAATGTTTAGTCATTTATTGACTATGTGGCACAAAAACCAGTGCATGGCAACTTTAACACCGCACCAAGGAGAAAAAACAGCTATTGTGTTACAACAATCAGGGTTTCACTACTTTTCAACAATGCTGCAGGTTGCCATTATTTGTCATTTATTGTGAAGACTTTCCATTTATTTGTCACACAGTGGCATCTGTCAGTGCTTTTATTTTGAAAGTTAGAGTTGTCACACCTTTTTGAGATGTTCTAAATGTACTGCAGTATGCAACATGTTTAGTGGTGTATTCCTTAGTTAAAGGGATGATATTTATGCAAACATTCAAAGCATAAAGATCTGTTTTGTAAGATTATATGCTGTTGAAAAAGATTTGACTGCACCAACCAAAAGCAAGGTGAAATAAAGGATTCTAGAAGTGTTATTTGAAAATGTGATAACAATCAAATGTTTCCAACTAATTAAATAACACTCTCACTTAAACCCTAAGTTACTGGCTGGTGAAATATTTAAAACTGTGGAAATTGTTCCAATTAGATTAACCTTAGAAATCAACCTTTTGTCGCCCCCTCACAGTTCTGTCAATCAAGAAACACCACTTTAAACAATAAAAATATCAATCTTTATTCTTTGAAATAGCATATCAAAGATAGAACCTTGATCTATAATCCCATTACAAATTACAATAACTATACCACAGTAAAACGTTTAACCCAATACTTTTCTCTGGATAAACAAGAATAGTTTTCTTATTTTATTTTTTATTTATCGTTTGTTTGCATGTATTGAAAATATTTTTGTTGTGACTTAAAAAGGCAAAACGTACTGTAGGCTGCTGAAAACCTTTGTTAGGAAATGATGAAAGCGTTTAGATGTTTATAAAATATCCTTTGAGCTTGTATGAATGCGCGCACGTTTCAGAAATACTAATAAAAATACAGCAGCATTGTGTCATTTTGTGGGTGTTTAAGATTTCTTTTGGGGGGGGGGCATGCATCTGTCCTCTCAGTGAATAATGAACCATCCACTTCTGACAAAATGAAACTCGCAATGCAAGTGATCAATGTTCTAACCATTACCTATTGGCAGGATCAGCTGTAAATATTAATTGTCAATGTACAAATACAGATAGTCTGCACATCACTAGCAGGTTAAGACCTTGTGCACCAGTTACAGTGCAGCCTAACCAACAGGGTACAACATGCTGTATGAGTGCAGGTGACCAAAAACACACACCGACTAAACCTAAAACACCATTACCGGTTAACGACAAACCTGTGGAAACCAAATGCTGGAATGAAAATTCAATTAAATGGTTTACACTAAACATGCACATAAATACCTATGCATAACTCTATAGCCTCTACAGTATATACTGTATGTGCTTCTTCTAAGGACAGAAACAGACTTTTATTTGGTTTACAGAACGGCTGCATGGAACAACAGTTGCACCAATTCCTCCACAGCTCCCATCGTACACAATATTAGAACATGAACAACAGCAATAAAAGTACAATAGTAAATGAGCAATATAAAACGCAAGGTATGACTGTATTACACAACATTGGCATTATATAGAAAGAGACAGGATGGTTTGGTAAAAGGGGTTTTTCAAAAATATAGAAAAATGACAAGAAGATTCATTTTTCTGAATGCTGCTCCACACTACTATTGCTTTGTTTTGTTTTGCAGTGTGGAGGTGTCAACAACATCTTCACTTCCTCCATTACACTATAAACCTACTCTAAATATCCCTACCTAACCCCTAGCATCTATACAAAACCATGCACAACACAAAGCAGACCAGGCCAGTGACACGTTACTTCTAGTTTAGAGCTAATCTAGCATCATCTGATCCTAAGATTCTGCACAGGTATTCTGTACCCCACAGGGATGGGACAAATCTGACACATCTGGACATGCTTTCCATCATTCCGACTGATTCTGATCAAACTCTTGTGCCTATTGCTTCACTGTTACTGCTTGCTGTACTCTCCACTGCAGAGCTATGAGATATGTACTGTATGAATACATTTTTGTTTCTTCATAACCTGACGATTTTTGTGGTTTATTGAAAACCAACCTGAATGTGGACGGCACTGGACAGTCAGGCAGATGGGGGAAAAAAAAACAAAAAGGAGTTGTATACAATATGTGGGCCTGCAGTAATGGCTGATTTTGCTCATAATAATTGTAATGAAGGAAGAAGACAGGAAACCAGCCCACTGAAGGAAAATGTTGGGATACTCTGTGTCATGTAACGTCCTAATAAATTAAAAGCTGTGGTTAGGCAGTCCTTCTAGGTCATATAAATTGTCTTCACAGCATGAGTTTGTGACTGTGTTCATGTTTATGTAAACAGAATATACGTATGAGTGTATGGTTTGTGCCGGGAATCATCATTTTTGGCACCACACAGGGACTCTCTACATCTCGTGGGACAGAGCTTCATGTTGAGCAGCCACTCCGTTGGCCTGCGGGGAGCTGGGTCGCTCCTCCTGCTGACCATTGCTCTCTGGCTGAAGAGCAGGATCGTCAGAGGCGTGAGAGGTGAAATGGGTGTTAGATTCGTTTAACCGGCGGACACGGTAGGTTTCATAGTGGATGCTGCCCGTGATATCCTTGATGTTCTGCATGTGTGTCCTGAAAGAAAGGAGGTAAGATTATGAGACTAGAAATGCCTAGAAGTGAAACACCTGTTCTTGTGTTATTTTATTTTATTTTATTGTCTTTAGGACAGGCCAAGGATGCTGCATGATTTGTACATTTTATTACGCCTGTACACCACCAAGGCGTTTTGTTTTCAGGTTGTACCCCCATCCGTTTGTATGTATGTTCATCCTGCCCATCCTTGTGAACATGATATGAGAACTCTTTTTTTCCTGTAGTCGGGCATAGACTCAGACCCCTGTACTAACAAGCTACTTGAGTACTAAGATTCTTTGGAAAACTTGAGTAGAAATGCCTTTTGTAACACTGCCTAGGGAAACACTCAACCCATTTAAAATAACTTAATTTGCATCGACTCCAATGGGGAAATGAAGCTTCACAGAGTCTCGGTGCTGTTTCCAATTCATTTTAACATCTCCAGAAGTAAGTGATTATTTGTCTCAGAGGAAGCTCAGTCCATAACAGGGATTTTAACAAGTTCCTATAAGGTAAAGTCTAGAATGGGAACCCACCTGATGAGAAGGTCTCGCAGGTAAGCAAACTCACAGTGTGCGATATTCTCAACTGCAAACAGAGACAGAGGAGAGACCAGTGGTAGCATTAATTACACACCTCGACAGAGGGTCACAGTGGTTTTTATACAGCAGTCAGGACCTTGCAGAGGATGATATGGACAGCTATGAAGTAATAAGATACTGTTACTAAATATGATCTGTCAAAAAAAGCTTTTAGTCAAGCTCACATGCCATTCCTGAAGACACCACAAGATGGCAATGCTGCTCATAAGTCACCTGAAGGGCATCTTCTACCTAACATGACATCTCCAGTAATTCTCTTCAGCCAAGGTAACGCACTCCTCCAATTTCAAGTCATTTAAATATGTCTCAGCTCCTCTCTGTACTGGAGAACTTTAAGCGAATCATTTTAACAAACTCCCTGTGACACGCTGCTGGTGCCTTTAGTAGGGCGAACACATGTTTGAATTATAGCTTATGTCAAAAGTGTAAATGAAAGGAGGTTGCTATTTATGTAAAGCTTTGAAATCCTGGGGCAGAAAATTTAATTTTCTTTGAAAGGAGGAGGTTGGAATAACTGCTGGGTGTGTGAGTGCTGATTAGTGGTGTCGAGGGAACACACCACTAACTTAACAAGCTGCACTGTGCCGCCCCCCCACTCCTTGGGAAGAAGTCCATATAGACAGTATGACATATACACTTTAATGTGTGACTACTCTACTTTTTTTATTCTTCTCTTCTTTCAAGTTTTCCACTCAACCGCTGGAAATAAACTGTTTCTTCTCCACTTGTGATTACTTGAGGTCTAATTTATGCCAGTGCGGACAAATCCAGCAGCCCAGCAGCCTCCTCTCTCCTCCTTTTCCCTGTTCCCTCTCTCATGCTGCTTGCCCTGTCTAGAATGAAGCCATTATTCTTTTACTCGGACAAGACGGAATGTGTACCGCAGTTTGTGTGCGTCACCTTTCTCTGCCTGCAGCTTTGAGGAGCTGTGGATAATATTTGCTGAGAGTGTAGTAATCTAAAATTCTGAGTTTACAGTGTCATCTTTTTTAGATAAACAATTTGAACTAGCCCTGCTATGGTTTTTCCACTGATTGTGGAAGGGTGATATATGCTCATATAATACCTTAGTTCAAGTCAAATAATGAAAATCCCTCAAGTTACAAGGTTTTCAAAACATAATACAAACATAGTCATCGCTACACATTTCTGACAGACTGGCCCTAATTGAGGTTTTCAGTCCAGTATGTTCTTTTAATGATGTGTAAGATTCAGAAATATTAAACGCGCACCAAGTTACAGATATAATAGACAAACAGATGTCTGTTAATAAATTATCTTTTGGTAAATGATTAGTATCTTACAATGCATTTATAGCAGCGCTAATAAACGTCGGTCCAGACCACAAAAGAGTGTGCTAACGTGCAATCTGGGAAGGAGACTGTGATTGTTAAGCAGTGACAGTCCCTTGTTCAGGCCTCCTTCAGCTGTCTTTTTGTCCTCCAGCCATACTTTCACTCACCGTCCACATGGATCTCTCTCTCTCTCTCTCTCACACACACACACACACAAACATACAGTCACGGGTGAGGTAAGGACACTCGCTTGCTAAGAACCTCCTTGGCAGTACAAGTATGCACTACAGGCCAACAAATGTAAACTGTAATAAAGTTACTGCATGGTGTGTGTGTGTGTGTGTGTGTGTGTGTGGTAGTACGTGTGTGTTTTATGTTTTCGCCTGTTATCCCCACGGATACAGAAAGTCCCTGTAAATCTCTTCCTCCTGTCTCATTCATCTTCCCCTAGTTACAGACTCAGAGAGACGTGTGCAAACAATCGCCTGCTTGTCAAACAACAGACGGTTGAACCAGCTGGACAGATTTGAAAGCTGCAGCTTGTAACTTTCCACATGTTCAAAATACAAGTGAAAATCTGTCTCTCCTTTGCCATTTCGTCTCGTCGTTACTGGTATGCTATGTGAATGACATTAATTGAGCAGGTGCATGCAATTATATCCTCTATCAGAGTGATACAGTTGGACGGTCTTGGCATTGTCAACTGAACAGGTGTGACCCAGGTGTGCGTACAATAAATGAGCTGTTTTTTGGTGTTAGGTCAAACCCGCCATGCAGATGGGCATTATAATATATTATTAGATTAATTTGTAATAAAAATTAAAAAACAAACTCAATCTATTACAGCTTTATCTGATGCTGGCAGCAGCAGCAGCAGCAGCTATACTTGAATATGGCTGGGGGGGGGTTTAAACGCTACTCTACACAGTGGCTCATTTTCAATTGTTTGTTTGGCAGGAAAAATAACCAGCTATGCCATTTTTTTGTGTCTGTATCTTAGGATTTATGTGTATTACCCTCTATGGTGCCCCACTTTGTTTTCCTGCCAAGAATCCTTTTCCCGTTCACCTGGTACTCCTGGTCACTGCCCACCACAGCAAATGGAATCATCTCCTGTTGAGTGAACACATGCAAACACACACAGTCATTTAAGTGCTGCCAGCGGTTTATTTTCAGGTCATGCCTTTCTGTAACTAACAATTTGGTGTGAATCATAGCTGTGTAAAAAAAAAAAAAAGACAGGAGACAAATAGAACAAATTAAATCTAACAAAGGTTTAAATTTGATCATGCAGACAAACCCCGCTGAAGCCGCCGCAGGACCCCCCTCTACGGTGGCTGTTAATATCTGGCCTGACTGAACCAGACACTGAACTTACCCTGATTTTATCATTGATCACCCTGTCCTCCGCATCCTCGTCAAACTCTTTCTGAGGGTAAACATCAACTCCATTGGCTCGCAGCTCTCCTCTAATCTGCACAATGGCACAAAGAAATGTTAAATAAAATAGTCTAATTACATAAAGTATATGGCCATAGCACAGCAACTTATCTGATAGAGTATAAAGTGATATTTTCCTAGTCAAATGTTTTTAAAATCTTGTTGCTAAATTGTCATGACACAAAGATAAAAAGGAAAAATAGACAGAAATAAAGAAAGGAGAACACTCAGGTCTAAATCCTTCATCTCACCATTCCCGCACTCACCTGAATCAGTCAGTCACTATAACCAGAAATACATGTGATGCCTGGGCTAAATCCTTTTTTACCTACAAGTATTAAAGTCTGGGCCAGAGAAGTGAATGGAAGCTGCTGTAACCCATTGGGGGACTTAAGCAAACACTGCTGGTGCTGACAATAAAAGTTGGCCTCTGACACAGAGGAGTTAACATGGAGGTTAACCACACTTAGGAAAAATAATTGCATCCAGACAGAAATATGGCAGAAGTATAAAACAACCACCCCCAATTCTATGTCTTTATAATGACTGGAACTCGGGCACAGATGCAAAACAGTCAGCAGACAAGCTTCTGAGAGAAGCGTCCTTTTAATGAATGACTGTTCCCTCCCACAATTACTACTCTGACAATTTCCACTTGGTCCTTGATCAAACACTTCATTGTTTTCTCGGGGTCACATTAAACGATGCATACTGAGTGAAATTCTACAAAAAAGCCACATCAAGCGTTGGCTGGGGGAACGCGACCAGACGGTCACAGCTGTACACACCGAGGCTGAACATTTAATAAAAAACCCCTCTTATTCTGTTCACAGGTCAAGTGGCTGCAGGAAAAACGGGGAGGAAACGATATGCCGGAGGAGGCTTTTAGTCGATACTCTTCAGGGTCACGAAGAGCACGTGCAGCCATCCAAAACATTCCAGCTGCAGATTCCTTACTCTGCCAGGGCCTTATTGGACAAGTGTTACAGGTACTGAGAGGGTAACGGTAGCCATTGTGCTTCCACCTCTCTAAAATAAATAAAAGATGTTATGGAAGTCTGTATTCTTGGAGGGAGGGATACAGAATAGAGGAAATGATGGACCAAGTTAAGCTGTACTTAAGCAAAGTGGCCATGTGCACTAAATGCTAACATGCTCATGACTAATAATAACAGGATATATTGGAAAAATGTTAGTATGTTCACCATATAAGTTCAGTTTTTTAGCATTTGATAAATTAGTAGCCATCAAAAACAACAGCTGAGGCTCATGGGAGTGTTATTAGTATTTTGTCTTAAACCAAAATACAGGAAGCCCAGTCAGATACAGTATTCACCTGCTGGTGGCAAGACAATTAATGCTGGTCATGTTTGAGAGAAGCCTTTTTTCCCCACTTACCACACAGCAGAGAGCTGTCTGAACTCGGTTACGAGACCTGTACAAGTACAACGATGGGTTCCCCCCCCCAAAAGGCAACTGGGCAGAGGTCCCACTTCTAATAAGAGCCTGACTTGGAAGTAGTGAATCATCTTTCAGTAAATGACTGTTTCACACTAAAAATTGTTAAATGCTTCCATCTGGACAGAGAATGACTTTCGATTTGTTACGGTTATAAAGATGAGACAGCATTTCCCTGGATGAGCAGGTTTGTCCAGATGGTTTTTGTTTGTGGTACCTGGCAGCTCTTCATATGGATGCTGTATGCATGTGTGCTTGTGAGGGAACCCTTTTGACTGTCTGACCTACTGTTGCACTCTCATCCATTTGTTTAAAGCTTATTTTAAAGACCTGCTAGAGGTTATTGTAGGTGTGATGGGAAGAAAATGTAACCAAAAATATGAAAGATTAACCACAGTCATGTGAAAAACCAGCTTACTCGCTTGCACACGCACACACAATATTTGTAAAACGCTTGTAAAAGGATGTCTTCCATCAAAACCCACACATGTATTGCCTCAAATACATTCGGACTCCTCTCACCGTCTGTTTAAAGTGGTCCCTCTCCTCCAGGGTGAGCGTGTCAGCTTTGGCGATGACTGGGACGATGTTTACCACTTTACTGAGACGACTCATGAACTCCACATCCAGAGGCCTCAGACTGGAGGATGACAGGGACAACAGAGTACAATTTAAATTCATCATGTAACCGCGTGTGTGCGTTCGCTGGATGTGGCAATTGCAGTTACTGGACTGCAGGACCAGCCAGCAAGTAACAAAACATAGAAAACAGCTCTTAACAGTGTGGTTTTGGGCATCTTTACTCAAACAGATACTAGTATATAAACCTGTTGTCAAACATGTAATGAAGCATAGTAACCACCAGAGGGCAATCGTGGTCTATTTCGATACATTCAGTCCACCATGGTTTCTTATGTTGACACTTCACACACTGTATTAATATTGTATATGTTGCTTTTCCACCATCCTAGGTGTGATGTCAGTCAACTGTATAAGAACTTTTGCATTAATTGTGTAGAGCATTTTCTTGCCATCTGTCATTTGTTTTTAATTTTTTGCTTTTGCTTAATTCAAAGCAAATTTGAAGTATATTCTCCACATTTGTCCTACAATTTTCAACTAAAGTTTTGAATATTGAATGCTATAATGAATAATAATGAATGCTCCTGGCCTTGTATCAGTGTATAATGTGCTACAGTGCTGTTCCGATTTCTCTTTGCCCTCCATGTTTTTTCTTTCCTGTCTCAGCATTGCCTCCAGTCGCTCCTCCAGACAGACTCCCCCTCATATTGGCTGCTCTGCCCTCCAATTAGCCCCAGCCAAGTCGGGCCAGCCTGGTTCAAAGACCCAGGGACAGCTGGAGGAGAGGCCTGGCTGGCTCTCCACAGTGGTTGGCAGGCATGTCATCGTGAACATAGGATGAAACGCTGGGGAGCATGTGCTACACAGAGCGAGAGGAGAGAGTGGAAACCAAGCAGCACAAAGGTAAAGAGAAATGACCCAGTAAGCCACGCACTCAACCAAGGATGGGGAGCGTTGCATTTTTATGCACTATTTCATAATGAACGTCTGGCATGTGAAACATTAATGCAGACAGAATAGAAACAGGTTATAAAAAAGAGAAACAGACTGGAGTTTGATGGTAGATGTCTGTGATCTCTGTGTGAATGTTTATCATATGCAGTATAATTCATGTAACTGCATACATAAACTGTACATGTGTACAGTAATAGATCAGAAACGAGCTCCAAGTTGATAAGAGTCAAAGTGCAGCTTTCTTTTCTTT